TTTAAAGTCTCATCCTGGTTCTGCTCCACGCGGCATGTTTAAAGTCTCATGCTGGTTCTGCTCCATGCGGCATCTTTAAAGTCTCATGCTGGTTCTGTTCCACGTGGCATCTTTAAAGTCTCATCCTGGTTCTGCTCCACATGGCATGTTTAAAGTCTCATCCTGGTTCTGCTCCACGCGGCATGTTTAAAGTCTCATGCTGGTTCTGCTCCATGCAGCATCTTTAAAGTCTCATCCTAAGCTTGTTGTGGCCCCTGGACAGATTTACCATTCATTTCTCCCCCTTCCACAAACCACAGGTTTAAAATATGTGTGTATGTACTTAGCAGCTGAAACCTTTCTTCAAACAAGTCTGTACACAGAAGCTGTGAATAGACATACAGGAAGCGAGACTCTGTGGTCTTCGGGGGCTGCTGGGGCAAAGCACCACACACCGGGGGGCTGAAACATTAGGCATTTACTGTCTCGCAGTTCCAGAAGCCAGAAATCCGGGTCCACAGGACGCTTCCTCCAAAGGCTTTGGGGAGGATCCTTCTTGCCTCTCCCAGCTGCTGGTGGCCTCAGGTGTTCCTGGGCTTATGGCGCCATGGCTCCAGGCTCTGCCTCATCTTCCTGTGGTCTCTCGTAAAGACCCCATCATTAGGGCCACCCCACTTCAGTGTGACTCAGGTTAGCTGACAGCATCTCAAAGGCCCCATTTCCAAGCAAGGGTTCACACATACCGGGGTCCGGGGCTTCAGCAAGTCTTGTTTGGGGACATGGTTCAGCCCATAACAGGCTCTCTGGTTGGAGACCCAGGGTCCAGCACCATCACCCTCCTGGGGAGCCTCTGACAATGCCAGCCCCACCCCAGAGTTTGAGTTAACTTGGGAGAGGGGCCCTGCATTAGCATATTTTTCAAAGAGCCCCTTGGGCGATTCTCCTTGAGCTGGGGTGGAGGCCACTGCCCCTAGAATCGAGAACCGGGGCTCAGCAGAGCACCATTCGGGGAAAAATTCTCCCTCTAGTGAAGCTGCAGGAGCCCCACCCTCGAGTCTCCCCCACGCGCATCCTGCTCCGGCTGATCTTCTCCTAACGAGAGAAGTGGAGTCGGTGGGGGGCGCGGCCTGTGCTCCGGGGGCCTCGTCCTCCTGGTTCCTTCTCAGCATCACTGAGCACATCCTCAGAGGACGCTGACTGACCGGGCTCCATTTGTGGTTGTGCTGCGCGGGCCTGGGGTGAGTCCTCCCAGCCAGGCCGAGGGGAGGTCCCCAGAGACGGCAGAGGAAGATGAACTCAGCTGGCGGAACCTCGGGGCCCGGGAGACCCGCGGCAGATGTTTGGGGCCGATGTAATACGACCCTGAAGAGGAAGGGGATGGTCGAGAGTCTCCTGCTGGGCCAGCCGAGGACACACACGTGCTAGTGGCAGTGTTCCGGGACCACCCACCCAGGCTGGGTGTGCACGCAATGGGGGCTGGCGGGTTCTGTGCTCCTGCCTTTTCCTGCAGCCTCGAAACAGCGCAGCTGCCAGGGGAGTGACCAATGTCCTAGGTCTCTGTCGCTGTTGCTGCTGTCGAGTGGGCCAGACTCACGGCAACCCCATGGCAGTGGAACGAAGCGCTGCCGGCTTCAGCCACATGGAGGAAGCTGTGATGGCAACCTCCTCTCGGCCTGTCCCTCTGGCTGGCAGCCTTGCTTTGGGGGTGGGGGGGCGTTGAGGCCAGGATGACAGGCCTCCGGTCACTCCCATATGGACCCCTCCTAACAGACTGAGACCCCACGGCTAGAACACCAGCATAGCCCTGAGACTGAGTGTCGGGTGAGCTGGCATGCTTGTAGCCTTGGCCGCTCCAAGGGGTGAGCCCAGAAACGCAGAACCGGGACAGGGGACGGTGCTCCACCGTGCACCCATCCTAGACGCCCCGTCTTAGTTACCTAGTGCTGCTATACCAGGAATACATCAACGGGTGACTTCAACAAACAGACGTGCATTTTCTCAGTTAGGAGGCTAGAAGTCTGAATTCAGGGCGCTGGCTCTAGGGGAAGGCCTCCTCTCTCTGTGGGCTCTGGAGGAAGGTCCTCGTCTCTTCTGAGCTTCTGCTCCTGGGCCAACTTCATGTGGTGGCATCTGTCTTCCCCCTCTCTGCTTGCTTAATCTCTTTTATATCTTGATAGAGATTGACTGAAAATACACCCTACGCTAATTCTGTCTTACTAACAACAAAGACAACCCATTTCCAAATGGGATTAAAATCACAGGCAGAGAGGTTAGGACTTACAACACATATTTGTTGGGGACACAATTCAATCCATAACACCCCCTGAGGGAGCTCCCTTGGAAACTGACAATCGGATCCTAGAATCCACAGGGAAAAGCAAAGGCCGAGGCAGTCAAGAACCCCTTAAGACACGTGCTGGAGCCACGAGGGGACCACCCTGTGTCACACCACATGGAACAGCGATTCCACTAGAGCAGCATCTACCTGGGAGAAGCCTCCAGAACCCTGTGGGGAACTTTGGGATGTGATCCTCACAGCCTGGGGGGGATTTCCAAAGTCAGATCGTCTGCACCAGGCTGCGGCGAGTCTACCTGCCGGCAGGGCCCCTTCCACACGGTGGGGACAGCGCAGGGCCTGAGACACACAGGGACAGCATGAGGACAGTGTGGGGACAGTGTGGGACAGTGTGGGGACAGTAAAGGACAGTGAGGGGACAGCGTAGGGACAGCATTGAGACAGTGAGGGGACAGTGTGAGGACAGTGAAGGACAGCATGGGGACAGTGTGGGGACAGTAAAGGACAGTGAGGGGACAGCGTAGGGACAGCATTGAGACCATGAGAGGACAGTGTGAGGACAGTGAAGGACAGCACGGGGACAGTGTGGGGACAGAGGACAGTGTCTGGCCAGTGTGAGGACAGCGAGGGAAAAGTGAGGGGACAGTATGGGGACAGCATGGACAGCACGGGGACAGTGAAGGGACAGCGTGGGGACAGTAAGGTTACAGCACGGGGACAGCTGGGTGGGCTCACCTGGAAGAGCACCTGCAGGATGCCGTGCAGGATGCACATGCGCCGTCCCAGGAGGAGGAAGAAGGGCACCAGGAGCTCAACGATGTGGTTGCCGAGCGTCTCGGCGCGGTGGATCCACCACGGGGAGCGGTGCAGGTAGTAGGCCGCGGGGTTGGGCACGGGCTGGGTCTGCGGGAGAGGGGCCGTGAGCTGGGGGTCTGCTCCCCCGGCCCTGTGATCACACTCGGGGTGAGGGGCAGGCCTAGGGGTGCAGGAGCTTTGCGGGGGCAGTGTGTGAGGCAGAGTCAAGTAAACCTGCACCGCTGAAAGGCAAAAGCACACTGTCTGAACGAGACACACATCTGTTTCTAAGTCGGGAACAAGTGTGGAGACGGGCGGTGTGGCCGGGCTGTGTCCATCCAGTCGGACGGGGATGGAACCCATCAGACGCCTCTGCTAGGGCACTTCTTTCCCCCTCCACCCTCTGACCCGGCCGGAGGGGCAGCCCAGGGCTGAGCGTGGGGTGGCGAGGCCAGGGGGCAGTGAGGCCTGGACACCACGTGGTGCGGATGCCTCTGCTCGGTGGGCACAGTGATGGGGGCTACCCAGCACTTCCCCTCGTCCTTCCTGGACTCACGAGCTTCGTGAGAAGGGAGAGGACGACTTCTCTGCCTGGTGTTCAGGCTTCCTGAAGAGGGAGGTGTTGCCTGGCCCAGCTCTCGAAGGGAGGGGTGCCCTGGACCCCACACAGGGTGGGTGCAGGTGTGGCCTCAGGGTGGAGGGAGGGGTGGGGAAGGAGTGGACGCAGGTCCGGGTAGAGCAGCTTGTGGGCAGCTCTGTGGGCCCTTCCAGGCTGCCCGGCCTGCACTGACCCCCTACTCCCAGGCACTTGGCGAGCCCCCCGGGAACCCCGCTGGGGGCTTGGGGAACTGGTGGTGCCCAACCCTGTGGCTTCGAGAGGACAGCGTGGGTAACGACCAGGCAGGTGGGCAGTGTCGCCAGCTCCTGCGGCTCTGAGTCCAGCAGCAGCCTGCCGCCCAGGCCCTGCAAGGACCCCAGCCATCTCTGTCCTCCCTGTGTCCCTGAGGTGTCAGCTCCCAGCCTCCACGCTGAGGGGGGGCATGGCTCCAAGGCTCCTGCCCTTCACAGCCATGCCCCCAAGACCCAAGCTCGGGGACCCCAGGTGAAGGGAGACGGCTGTGGTGAGCACAGTTGTGGGCCATATGTGCACATCGAGCTGGACCCTCTGAAAAAGCCATTCGGAGGGGGTGTGAGGGGGCCTTCATGCCGCAGTTACGAGCTGGTGACAGGACGGCACTCGGCGATCCTGAGCAGGACGCTGCCCAAGGACAGAGCAGAGGAAACGCCTCTCCCCGGGACACCTGAGAATGGGTGGGGGGAGCAGGCCCGTAGGAGATCCTGGTGATCTGGCCCCGGACCACCTGGCTACAACACAGTCACAACCATGACCCTTGGGGACCATGGTGCCTGTCGGCACTGAGTTGGAATCTACTCGACAGTAACGGCTTTGGTTTTGCTATTTTCGGTCGGCCAGGCCAGCCGTTCGCAGGAGTGCCCCCCGCCCCGCCCCGACCGGTGTGCCAGCTGTTAACAGCAGCTGGTCAAGGCCGCTCTTCTGGAAAAGCATCCTGTTCCCACCGTGGCAACGCCGATGTCTGTGGCTTCCCGAGGCATAACCCCAGGTGGGCGGCCCCCAATACTTGTCTGATCTCTATAAAAGTAAGAAAAATAAGCAGTGTCTGCCAGAGCCCGTGGCCAGGGGCCAGCCCTTAATGACGCTGCTGTGGGGAGGGTCCAGAGGCGTGGGGAAGGGGGCCAGCGGGGACAGCGGCGAGGCCCTCTCGAGGGTTTTTCAGCAGAAACAAACAAGTGGGTGAGGGTTCAATCGGTCCCACGGCCTGTCGTATAAAACCTGACACGGGCCCGGGCGGTGGCTGTGCTCTCAGCCTTGGGCCACTCCCGCAAGCTGGATGCGTCCCTGCCCAGAGGGGCCCAGAGAGCAGACGCGGGGCTCCGTGGCCGACTTGCTCTGGACACAAGGTTGGGTGGCAGGGGAGGACACACTCTTGGTTACCGGCCAAGTCCCGTTCTTTTTCTTTAATTGTCCAGGCGCTCTGGATCGAGGTGGGTCCCCATGCCATGGTGCTGATGGAAGGGATCCCCTGAGGCGCTATGCGTGATTCATACTGAGAGGAGGTGGAGCAGCGCTCATTGCTCATCGCTCATTGGGGGGCCTTGGGCCTGGGGCCACACCAACGTGACGCGGGGGGCGGGGGGGGGATGGGCCCTATACCTGGCCACTCCCTTGCCCACAAACAGGCACCCACAGAGGGCGAGGGTCCCCGTCCAGTTGGGGCAGCGACTGGCCGACGGGGAAAGCAGGCCTCAGCCACTCGGGGGGACTTGAAGGACCAGCTAGGGAGTCGGTGGGTGTTTTTATCGGAGAGGGGGAAGTGGGCATGAAAGGTTTTTGAATAGGGAAGGCCATCACCCAAAGTTAACAAGTGAGACAGTTACTTCAAACTGATCTTATGTCCAGCGTCCCTGTGGTCGGTAGCTCACACAAACGGGTGTCAGGGAAGAAAAGCAAACTGAAATCAAAGACTTGACCCCATGACCCCCTCAGGGGTTCGACCCCATGACCCCCTCAGGGGACCGAAGGGTGGCATGCGGCTCGGGCAGCCCCCTGGGCCACAGGCTCCCCGTCCTGCTGGCAGGGGAGGGGCGGTGTTGCCCTGGAGCCAGGCCCACACCGGATGTCACTGCACCACACAAAACGCGCCGTTGGAAGGATGAGCCTCGGGGGTGCAAATGGTGAACATTCCGGCTGCTCTCAGAAAGGCTGGTGGTTCGAGTCCACCCAGAGGAGCCTCAGAAGAAAGGCCTGGGGATCTACTTCTGAAAACTCAGCCACCGAAAACCCTGTGGAGCACAGTTCTCCTCTGATACACATGCAGTTGCCGTGACTCGGCGTCGATTTGACAGTAACTGGCTTGGTTATTCTTTTGGTTTATGATGCTAGCCATCTCCTGAAACGTTTGGGTTCCGGAAGGTTGTACTTTAGGGGCCTGCGCCTCGGCTTAAGGCAGCTCCTGGATGAGCACAGACACTTGCCCCAAGGCTGGAGGGCGTCTGGCGCTGCTTCTGCAGATTTATGACCTGCCGGGGGCCGCGTGTGGGCGGGGGGCCTGCTCAGCAAGTAGGCGCCCCCTCCCCTGGCGGCTGCCCTCCCCCTGCAAACCAGGGATAAGGTTTTATTTCCTTCGCTCTAAAGCTGGAGGGAAACCCCTGACCGGGACGTGGCGGCTGCAGCCGGCAGCCTGTAGAGCTGGGAGGCGGGCTGCACGCCACAGCGGCTCTGCAGGTTCTCAGTGGTGCTGACACGCACGCCGCTCATTTGGAGGAGGAGGATGATGATGATGATGATGTGCCGGGGAGGGGCTGGGGCGCGGAGGGGCCCGGCCAGCCCAAGACCTCAGGTAACTATACAAACAGAGACAACGTTGAATAAGAACACAAGCAAGCGAGGAGAGTGGCCGCGTGAGGCCAGCAGCAGCAGACCGGGGAAGCCACTTCCTCCCGTTGGCGCGCCCGCGTTCCCACCTGCCCCATCGCCGTCGACAAGGAGTTGGAGAAAAATGCTTCTTCCACGACCTTCTGTTTTAGAGCTGGCGTTTTCACGAGCAAGGAGCACACCTAGCTGTCATCTGAGGACTGATTTTCTGAAAACCCTCATACACCCCGTCTCAACTGGAAACCATAGGATGGGTCACCCGCTCTCCCGCTGTCGGGGGACTCTTACCCCGGCCCACACATGGGTGCTATCCGGAGCAGCCCCCTAGGCCCAGGCAGTGAGGACGTTCACGTGTGAAGGCAGCTTGATGAGGACCAGCGTGGGGACACATGTCTCTGAGAATGCCACGCTTCGGAGCCCCGGAACTGGCCCCGGGGTGGGGACTTCACCCTCTGCTCGTCCCTCTGTGCACTGGTGCCATCGGTGTGTGCTCCATCCTAAGGGCCGGGCCCTGACGGGAAGATGCAGAGACAGACTCTAACCGGGGAGGGGAGATGGCTGGATTTAACGAGTGAGAGTCTTGGGTTAGAAAACAAACACAAGACCCAGCAAGTGTCCCAGGAACAATCAGCGAGTCCCGTGGGGGTCACTGGCCTTGGAGATTTGAAGCCCAGAGTGGTGAACACCACGGGGTTGGGATCGTGCACCGAGAGGGCTCCCCCTCGTCAGGGGCTGGAAACTTGTGGGATGGCAGCTCCCCTCCCTCCACAAGGCCGAGGCCCCCGCCTTCGTGGCGCCAACCTGGTGGGTGTGTGCCCTTTTACAGTGGCCGCCCACTTGCTACCCAGGTGACTGCATCTAGCAAGCAGGTCTCTGGGTCTAGAGAAGAAAAAGGACGAGTTACAGAGAAGGAGGTGAATAACCACTCACAGAGGAAGGGGGAAAACCAAAACACCGCGCAGAGACAGCAACGTCGGCAGCATCTACGGCAGAAGGTTCCTATAGGTGGCCGCTATCAGCTCCGGCCCTCCCCACCACACCCTCCCTGGCCCGTCACCGGGAGGCATCTGGTCCTCTCCCCGGGAGTCTGAGCTGGCCTGTGGCTGTTTGGCAGAATGCACAGTCCTTAAAACGACGGGCAGATGTGGGCCCTCCCTGCGTGAAAAAGTCCCTCTGTAAGAATACTGAATGTACTGGGGACTGCCCAAGAACAAACAAACCAGTCTCAGAAGAAACACAACCAGGATGCTCCCTACAAGCAAGGATGGCGAGACTCGGGCTCGCTTACTTTGGACATGTCATCAGGAAAGACCAATCACCAGAAAAGGACATCATGGCTGAGGGTCAGTGAAAATGAGGGCAACGCTCAAGGAGATAGATGGACACAGTGGCTGCAACAACGGGTTCAAACATACCCGTGATGGCGAGGATGGCACAGGACGAGGCAGCGTTTCGTTCTGTCGGACGTAAGGTTGCCATGGGTCAGAGCCGACTGGACGGCAGCTGACTAACCTGAGTCTGTGAGCTGTACACATCCAAACCAGCCTGCGGTCGGCCAGCCAGCCCAGTCACGTCCTCTGTCGCCGCGAGGTTCCCCCGGCCGGCACCCCTCCCCAGCCCCAGCCCCCAGTGTGCACATAAAACATTCTCTTTT